CATACTTGTTGTGATGAAGGGGAAAGTCATTTCTTTATATCTTTCTTTTCTTTTTCTCTACTATATTCTTATTTTTTCTTTCCTTTCTATTTTTTTTCTTTTTTTTTTCTGCACCTTCTATTTTTTTTCTTTTTCTTTTAGTTTGTATTAGTTTTTATTGTTGTAAATTGTAACCTTTAATAAAATTACTATTTAAAATAATGTCTTGGTAAGATCTAAAAGTCTTCCATGAACATGATTGCAGCTTTGAACAACTTCTGCATTTTAATAGGCTTCCTCTTCTACTTCCACATCAGCCATCGGCCAATGCTTGATCAACACATCCATTCCTTGCTCCTGATGGCCATCTTTGGTAGCGCTGCCACCTGCTTGATACAAACCTTCATGCGTGACAACATGATTTTGGACTTCTTTATTGCCAGCCTTGCCCTCTTGCAAGGAACCTGGTTTTGGCAGGTTGGCTATCTTTTCAGTTTTCTTATTAAATTAGCATTGCTGTTGGCAATGGCCAAGAAGCTAAGGTTTGAGGCAGCCTCTTTGATCCCTTTGAATCTACTGTATAAAGCTTGGGGCAACTGAGAACAGACCTGGAAAGGAAGTCCAGTGCCGTGTCATCAAGCGGGGATCAAATGACCACCTGGAGTGCACCAATTAATGGTTACTGGCCAAAAGGTTTAGTGTTAGCACCTTGATGAACATGGACAAGCTGTAATGCATCAGTGCCAGTGACATCCTTTGTTGCTGTTGCTTTGATCTTTCTCTGTCTCTTAACTGTTAAGATATTATATGCAGTAAGAAAGAGGTAAATGACCAATCATATATAGAGTTATAAACCAGGGGTACAAAACATGTCATCCAGGGTGCCTAAATGCACCCCCACATTATGTTGTTGTTGTTATTCAAAAATGTCAATAAAGTCACCCCAATTGGTGAGATTTAAATGCCTTGGCATGAAATTCTGAAAGACTGCATGAGAAGATGCCAAAATCTTGCACAAGGACACTGAAATCCCATGCTAGAGCCTCAAAAACTTGTGAGATCTGGCTGCCTTGGGAGATTTCGTACAAGTAAAACATGGGGAATAAACAGAAAAAACATGTCAAGCTCTGATCTAGACAATTGCAGGGATCAGCAACAATTTTGCACTAGAATCTGCCGATTTTTGAAATCTGAGTGGGATCGCCAAGGCCCCCAGGAGACTTGGCTAGTGATGTCATTGTCCTGGTTAGGGCATGGCATACCTCTCTTTGCTCATTCCACATTTATTTATTTAACCTCACGCTTTTATTGTTGTTGTCACGTGCAGCTCCCCACAAGTTAGAAGGCTCTATTAGGCACAATATATTCCTTGTAATTCAGCCAGTGTGAATTGACTGAGCGTTGAAGATTAGTTAACTAGAGTTCAAAAGGAGTAACTTAATCATACCTCTGTTTAGCTGCTGTCTCATTTGCCTCAAATCTCTTTGTCAGAGTATCCCAAGAATGTGGACGTTGGTTGGAAAGGAGTGTGGGGAGAAAATATGTAATTAAGCAAGGTGTAGGTAAATCATTTTATGCTGGACAATTGCTAAAATGTATGTTCACCATTCATGCTTTCCTTAAAATTTTTGCCACTTGACGTGCCTCTGCAATTGCACGGGAGATCCTGAGCATTTTTTTTTTTTAAATCCAGATAGGTTTTGTGTTGTATCCACCATGGGGAGGACCAGAGTGGGATGAGAGCGACCATGGCAACATAATGTTCATCACCATGTGCTTTTGCTGGCATTATGCCATTGCAATCCTCATTATTGCAGTGAACTATTCTCTGGTCTACTGGTAAGTTTTCTGGAATAATACATTGCTGATCCAAATCTAACATTATGCACTTAAATAAACAGGTATGCAGAGACTTGCAAAGCGTATGAGAAGAAATACAGAAAACACTAACACTTTGCTCCCTCTGGTGGTGGTCCAGTGAGGGCACAGCTGCTCAATGCAACAAGTGGTGAGAGCATGTTGTTGAGACCAGGAACAAGTTGTTCAGACCAAGAAACCAAGCTGCAAACACTTATTACACTAAGCCATGGTTTGCTTAATCCTTGGTTACTGAATAAATCAAGGTTTTCAGATTCACTCAACATTCTAAGCCAAACCCAAACTGTGAAGGATGTGGTGTGAATCGAGACTGCTGTAAAGTCAACCAGCCGGGCCCCCACTGGTTCACCACATTGCCTGGTTAGACTATTAATTGTGTGAGGATGTAGCACAGTAAAGATCAGAACACCTTTGCCTACCTTGAAACTCAAAAGCTGCAGGCCCGTGGAGAAGCACTTGCAAAATTCCTACTTCGGAGCAGACTTCAGTTATGAAACAGGCTTTCCCCGCAAGGAGACCTGCTTTGTGCTCCTTCAGTGGGAACTATTTAGGACCAGGCAGGGCTCAGCTTCCTTTCTGAAATCAGATGAGGTTTCCACATATTCTGAGAACTTCAATAAGAGGATATCTCCCTCCAGAAGCCAGAGCTTACTGCTCAGTCCCTATGTTTCCAGCAACCCATTAGGAAACTCCAGATCTTCCTTCAAAGTGGATTTCTCAAGCATCAGGTATAACATATGAATGGAGAACCTATTTTCTATCAAGGGCCACGTTCTTTCAAAGATAAGCTATGGGTAGCCACTCCCACTGATGCATGGGCTTGAATGAGAAGGGAGTGGATCTTCCCCTTTTCTTTCTCTCTTATTTTCTGCTGTCACATTTTCCCTCTCTTTCTCTTTTAATCCTGTTATTTCCCATTCTGATATACCTTTTCCCTCTTCCTCACACAGCAGGGGAAGTACCCGTATTTTTCCGACTATAAGACGATACTTTTTTCTAAAATCCTTACCCTAAAAACTGAAG